AGGTAATGTGAATTTGATGGATTATTTCTACCTTAAAAATTACTGAACATTGGCGCAAATAATTTTGGGACACCCTGTAATTATATGATACTATAAATATACTATAAATAATATGATATAAATATTTTCAATAGAAGATAAGGCCCTCTGATAAAGAGTGCCTTATCTTCTATTGAAAGTATTTATTTAGTTGTAGAGCAGGTGTTATAATCAACTGAACAGAAAGTAGACCTTTGCATTCCTAATGTTTCACTTATCATTTTGATAATTTTTTCCGGAATGTCAAACTCATTCATGCGCCAATTCTAGACGATAGAGACTTTTTGGACCGAAAAACAGCAAATTCGCGTTTGTCCCTAGTTTCAGTAAACTATATGCCTTCATCTCATTCTTTAGCGTTTGTCCCGCTTGTAGGCGGGGTCCGCTTTTCTGATGTGTTGACGCCCTCCTCCCGATTGAACGCTTGATCTGGGTAAATGTTAACCGCTTTGAGGTCTTCGAGCCACCGCTGCTTTGGACGCCCTCTAGGCCGCCTTCGAGACACATCAAGGTTGAGACCGATCTTACGAACACTGTCTACAACCGCGCGGAGAACGTGGCCATGCCAACGGAGACGGGCTTCGCGCATTTTATCGACAACGGGCGCCACACCGAGTCGCCCCCTGATGGCGTCATTACTTGAGCTGTTTAAGCGTGTTACTCCGGCTGTCCAGCGCAGCATTTTGGTCTCCATCACGCTGAGACGGGCTTAAATTTCTTTGGTTGCAAGCCGCATTCAGCGCCGTAAATTGCGACCGGCGAGATGACGGTTCTGTAGATCCTGGGTTTGAGACGCTCAGGCATGTTCTTATCGCAGAGTACGCCACTCATCGAGCGCCACTTCAACCACGCTGCCTTGGCGCGAGATTTCGTTTCGAAAACCAGGCTTTCGTCGGACGCAATTGCCGATCCAAGATACCTGAACGTTGTTGTCCGTGTGAGCTCAGTACTATTGATCTTGATAGAGCCTGACTCGCTCGGATCGGTGGTCAAGTACCAGTCTTCTTGACGTTGAACCTAAGTCCGAACATATCCAGACGGCGGACCAGGGTTGCACCTGTTGCTCAAGCTCGCTTTTGTCTTCGCTGGCGAGCATCACGTCATCGGCATAAAGAAGAGTCCACGAAGTCGGCTTCTGAAGGTCTCTTGTAATGGTATCCATGACGACAGCAAATAATAGTGGGGACAATGCAGAGTCTTTCTGTTCTCCAACGGAGATGGAGAGTAAAGGATGCGTACCCACTCGATGAACTCTTCAGGAACGACACACTATCGTAAGGCATGCCATATAACGTCACGCGGAACGCGATCGAAAGCCTTTTCCAGGTCTAGACAAACGAGGTGTTCTGTTCTTCGTTTCTCGTGGTGCTTTTCTAGAAGGAGGCGTGTGGCGTATGTGGATTCGATGGTGCTACAACCAGCCATGAAACCACACTGATTAGAGGTCAGCTGGACGATATCACGGATACGGCTGTCTTCAATTCGCTCAAAGGTTTTCATGCTGTGCGAGAGCAAGCGAATTGGACTGTAGCAAGTGCAGTCCCGAGGACTACCCTTCTTCTTCAAGGTTAGGAATCGGCGTGCTCTGTTGCCAGTTCTCAGGCATCTTATTCTCTGCATCGACCTGGTTGAAGAATATCGTCAACCGTCCTGCAGGATTCCAGCCTTTCGATTTCCACAGGTCAGCAGCTAAGTCGTCAGGACCAGTTGCTTCGCCTGATTTCATCTTCTTTCAAGCCGTAATGGTCTTATTCACGGTTACCTTCCAAACGGGAACGTGTACTGGCGGAGCGCAGGGGATGGCGGGATGAGTACATTCGACAGTTGAGATGTTTCCGAAGTACTCACTCCATCGTTTCATTGTTTGCGTGGGGTCTGTCAAGAGATGACCGTTTTCGTCATTTATACCGAAGGACTTTTCTATGTCCTCGGCCTGGTGGATGCGGGTCTTTGAGAGTCGGTAAACGTACCGCTCATCATCACGAGACTCGTGTTTCTTATTAAGATCGGCATAGTGAGCTGCCCTCTCAGAAGCAATGGCCTTCTTCGCCTCTTTCTTCGCTATCTGATAGCGCTGCCAGTTGCCAACCGTCTTTTCGATAAGAAATGCGTGGTACTGCCTTTTCTTCTCACGAAATTTGTCTCTGGCATGGTCCGTCCACGGCCATGTTTGCTTATCAAGTTTTCGCCGTCCAGGCTTGGTCATGCCGAGCTTCGAACACGCAACCTGCGTTATCGCTTCCGCAGCTCTTTTCCAAGTTTAGTCGACAGTCGTTACCGCTGTCGATAGAATGCTGGAGACGACGGCCGCTTCTTTCTCCTTCAGTTGCCACCACTTGATTCTCGCTGACCCATACCTTTCTGCTAGTTTCGATTTCAGCGGAGGCGATCTGCAACGTCCAAATCAGTGGACGGTGTTGTGTTGCGACTTTTTCATAGGGAACTGTCTTCGCGTCTGTTACGAGCACTTGATCGCGATGCCTGACAAGGACAAAATCAATTTGTGTTCTGTTCTCACCGCTGTAGATGATGAGGTGAGAGCCACGTTTCCGAAATCTCGTGTTTACAATGGCGAGATTATGCGAGTCTGCATATTCGAGAATTTGCTCGTCATCAGTGTTACGTGAGCCATTCCTGCATCACCATGGCAGCTATAACCGTCTTTCGCAGCGCTCACGTGACCGCTGAGGTCACCATGGCACCTTGTGACGGTAGCTCAGCTGTCTTTTCATCGAGCAGGTTCTAGAACTTGTCCTTGGTTTGCTCGGAGCATGCAGTCTGCGGAGCATACGCTGAGAAGAGATGGTATTTTAGGCGTTCAATGACTACCACGATCTTCATTAGTCATCGAAGCGTTCCACGCTTACTATCGAGTTACGGAACCGTTTATAATACCAACACCGTTGGTGGTTTTGGGGCCACCACAAAGAAGAGCTTTGAAGCAGAGGCCAATGTTCCTGGACTTGCAACAGGACCACCTAGTTTCCTGTTTGTAGGTGTCCTCAGCTATTGGCTGCTTTCATAGTCCGCCGGCGTGCCGGCGTAGAGGCAGTGCTAGCGGGGAGGAGGGAGGCAGACGGATAGGCAAACAGTCCACGCCCCTTCGAGGGGTTGAAAACAAACAACCTTCGAAGGGGCGTGGACTGTTTGCCTTACACTGTCTGCCTCCCTCCTCCCCCCTAGCACTGCCTCCGCCGGCACGCCGGCCGGCCGGCGGACTATGAAAGCAGCCATTGGGGTACTCCCTTTGTACTGAATTATGGAAAAGAGAGGAAATACACGCTAAACTGGCGAGTTCTCACAGCGAGTACTGTACTTATTGATGGTGCCGCAGTCGTAGAACTGCCTCACAATCTACATATTCGAATGAGGCACTTGCGTTTGAGTTTTGAAGTGACGTTGACATTTCGCCAAAATGCACAAAGCAATCAAAAATTTACAAGCATTTCGAGAAGCCATAGGCCATTCTTTGTTGATAGTTGAACTAGTTGAGCAGAACTGCTAGAGGTGCTTAATATTATGAAGGGATTTTCTTATCACTGAGCATTTTCAAAGTGGAGTTCAACAATGTAAGTATTCCGAAATTTCTTCAAATAAAAAAAAAATGAGTTCCAATCTTAAGCGCATTGTGATTCCGGAAGTATGAAGCTGGAGTTTTAGGAACAGTTTTTCTTCTTTGCAAACCATGGCACAAGCTTAGAGTTTCGTTATATCCCTAGGGCGGATTGCACAACTTCCTTTCAGACAGTGTAGATGCCATTCTGAAAAGCGAGAAAACGTATGCTCTATACAAACATGCCACGCGCCCTTTCAGAGAATCAAGGAACGCTTGTTGTTTTAGGTTCAGAGAAGTGCTATTTCTGAATCATAGGCATATTATTCATCGAAACTAGGCAAATTGCTGTTTTTCGATCTAAAAAGTCGCTATCGTTCAAAATTGGCGCATGAATGAATTCGTCCATTTCAGAAAAAAAGTACTATCAATACGACCACGATGCGGATGACGTGCCTCCAGGAGCTTTGATGGAACAGACCTCCAAAGTGGAGGTTTCCCAAATTTTCAATTCACAATTTTATAAAGCTCGCTATAAAGCTTTTTTTCGTGATTTTTCGGATAATTGGGGTGGGTATTGTCCTTGCGCTGAGTCCAAGTTTCCTAGGCTTAGTGGAGAGAGGAAGAACAACAGAAGCGAAAAACTGGATATGGAGCCTTGGCTTGCCTGGATGCTTCAGTTCTTATTTGTGCTTTTCTTGCTTCCTTCTGCTCAGCTCTGATGCTAGATCGCTAATCGTATAAGTGTGACTGCTAAATGTCCCATGTTTTTATTTCTGTGAGAATTATCGTAAGGCTCGGACGACTTTGTGTTAGGCCGCTTTCTCCGTGTGAGTGACGGTCTACATTTAGAATGAAGAATACCGAGAGGGACGTTCTACCTTACTAGGACCTGGATAGACGCTTTTTTCCCAACAGAGTCTGGTCCTCCTTCAATTTGATAGACTTAAGAAACGGTCTTATGCTCTTGTTGCTCTCTGAAGAGCTCCATGACCTTCTGGATGTAATTGATCGTGCGGACCTAGTTAAAAAGCATGGCTCAACTAGTTTCAATCCTAGTGAGTACGGTTTGTGTTTGAAATGCATAGCTGTCCACTGTAGGTTCGACGTTCATTCATGTCACACACTAAATATAATTTTGTCTAGTCACATGTGACATGACGTGTGTTGGAGCGATGATCGTTTTTATGTATGGTCCATTCGTATAACGCCTTTCAAAGTTGAAAACCAAGCGTTTCCGGCTTTGTTTGCTTCCATTTTGACGTGAAGGGCCCTTCAAACACATGTGCGAGTGCCTGTTTGGTTGTTTTGATTATCAAAGAGGCTAGGAGCAATAACCAAGATTAGAATGGCGCTCATCATGGTAGCCAACGAGAACTCAACGAGTCTACGCATTCCGGAAGAGAAGCCGACCCCAATAAAGGATTGTTTTTCTGTGTTTGCTTTATTATAAATATGAACATAACGAACACGGCATTCATGATAACGGTCCGTATTAAGCATAGAAATAATCAATTCTAGTTGATAGTCGGTCATATGTCGAAATTTTATGTATGTCCTAATTTTGATGTGATTTTCCCTGATCCTGATTTTTATACTTTTCCTGGTTGTTGTTGGGAAAAAATCCCCTTCACTCACGCTGAGATGACGATAAACATTGACCGTCAGAAAGTGATCCTGCTGTAGCTTGATGTGTCGTTGCTATGTTGCAGTTGTAGTACTTCATGGTTTTGTGTTTTTTTTTGGTTGACAATGTAGTTTGTTCCACAAAGTTGGCGATTTGTGGGCAAAACTCCAGTCTCGGACGGGACTCGAACCCGTACTTGTCCTTTCCGGGGACCGTGCTCTTATCCCTTACACTACCGAGACCCCGCTTGCCCTCGCCTTCTTAATGGCTTATATGCCATAGCTTATCAGCACTCACACGTACAACGTGTTGAGCCGGTCGGCCGATATCAGCACAGAACCGATAAGCTGTAAGCTTTACATGATAGTACTTGTTTTGACTTGATGTTTTGTTAACTGCTGTTTTAACGCCGCAGTGCGCGAAGCGAAAGTCTCACAAAGTTGGCGATTTGTGGGCAAAACTCCAGTCTCGGACGGGACTCGAACCCGTACTTGTCCTTTCCGGGGACCGTGCTCTTATCCCTTACACTACCGAGACCCCGCTTGCCCTCGCCTTCTTAATGGCTTATATGCCATAGCTTATCAGCACTCACACGTACAACGTGTTGAGCCGGTCGGCCGATATCAGCACAGAACCGATAAGCTGTAAGCTTTACATGATAGTACTTGTTTTGACTTGATGTTTTGTTAACTGCTGTTTTAACGCCGCAGTGCGCGAAGCGAAAGTCTCACAAAGTTGGCGATTTGTGGGCAAAACTCCAGTCTCG